GAGGATTTCCCCATTCCTGACAGGGCCATTTTTATGATAACGGGCCCCTTTTTTGGTTAATTTAAATGACAATTGGCGGTTCCGTGCAGCGCCTGCACCAAAATGAAATTTAACTATGCCCTTTTTTTCCCCGTACCGAGATGGAGCTTTCTTTCTGTGGTATTTGATCGCCTGTTGCCGTTTTTATTTTTTTGCGCTATAAATAAAAAAATTGGAGTGGTTCAAGAAGAAGCACATTAAGGTCCTGGGAGTGGCTAGCCAGTGTCCAGATCTTAATCCCGATTCAGAAAATCTGTGGAAGGGCAGCTGAAAGTTCGAGTTGCCAAACATCAGCCACCAAACCTTAATGACTTGGAGAGGATCTGCCAAGAGGAGGATGGGCCAAAATCCCTCCTGAGATTTTTGTTGCGAACCTGGGGACCAACTCCAGGAAATGTCTGACCTCTGTGATTGCCAACAAGGGATTGGCCACCAAGTACTAAGTCATGTTTTTTTTTTTTTTTGTGAAGGGGATCAAATACTTATTTCCCTCATGAACATACAAATCAGTCATCATTTGTTAGACATGAATTTCTGCTGAATTTGTTGTTGCTATTCTGTCTCTCAGTGTTACAATACACCGAACATTCGATTTTTTTGACCGATCATTTCTTTGTGAGTGGCGAACATTCAACATCAGCAGGGGATCAAATACTTATTTCCTTCACGGTATGTGCTGGAAGCACGCAGGGCGCACGCTCTCAGCAAAATAAATGTTAATTTCTAATTGCACGCAATATGCAGCCGCTCGGCGTCAACGCCCAAACGCCGAGAGGCCACATATTTGCGGTGCGATCGTCGTCAAGGGGTTAAACTTCATTATATGCATTTGTGGTGCGGTTTTAATGCCTCAACAACATGCATAGGGTGTTTGGGGAGCGTTTGAGGAGCTTTAAAAAACGCTTCCAAAACGCCTGTCTAACGCCTGTCAAAAACGCTATAGGGGCGTTTGGCAAGAGTTAGAAATGAGTCAAGTGTGAATGAGCCCTAAACAATAAAATGGCTTCAATTCATGCCATTCACTGTGTAAAATTGTGCTGCCAGCTGTGATTGGTCACATTGATCACATGGTATAGACAGGGCTAATCACAGCCCATTTGTACCATGTGATTAGGTCTGTGGGCAATCACAGCTAATCACAAACAATATATACAGAATAAAATCTATTTCATACAGTAAAAATGGTTGCTTATACTGTGAAATTCACTGCTGTAAGTAATCATAATGTCAAAATAATAAACAAAAAATCCTGATCACTTCCCCAAGTAGTTTAGTGTTACCATGGTAATATTATTTTGCTCTGGTCACAAAAAAAAAAATGTCCCTGATCACCACTACACCAGTTATATGATAACGCTGCACTGCACTGGTGACAGTGTTTACAAAAAACAAAGAAAATGTGAAAAATGTTTTTTTTATTTCTTAATTTTCAAAAAAATGAAGACAGAAAAAAAAACTTGAAAAAACTGCAATTGATCTTACTAAATACCGAAATACCATGGACTGTCTAACTTTCCAAAAAGAGGTAATTTTGGGGGTGATATCTGTACTGTTCTGACATTTGGAGGATATCTGTACTGTTCTGACATTTGGGGGATATCTGTACTGTCCTGACATTTGGAGGATATCTGTACTGTCCTGACATTTGGGGGATATCTGTACTGTCCTGACATTTGGGGGATATCTGTACTGTTCTGACATTTGGGGGATATCTGTACTGTCCTGACATTTGGGGGATATCTGTACTGTTCTGAACATTTGGGGGATATCTGTACTGTCCCAACATTTGGGGGATATCTGTACTGTTCTGACATTTGGAGGATATCTGTACTGTTCTGACATTTGGGGGGATATCTGTACTGTTCTGACATTTGGGGGATATCTTTACTGTCCTGACATTTGGGGGATATCTGTACTGTCCTGACATTTGGGTGGATATCTGTACTGTTCTGACATTTGGAGGATATCTGTACTGTTCTGACATTTTGGGGGATATCTGTACTGTCCTGACATTTGGGGGATATCTGTACTGTTCTGACATTTGGGGGATATCTGTACTGTCCTGACATTTGGGGGATATCTGTACTGTTCTGACATTTGGGGGATATCTGTACTGTCCTGACATTTGGAGCATATATCTGTACTGTCCTGACATTTGGGGGATATCTGTACTGTTCTGACATTTGGGGGATATCTGTACTTTCCTGACATTGGGGGATATCTGTACTGTTCTGACATTTGGGGGGATAGCTGTACTGTCCTGACATTTGGGGGATATCTGTACTGTTCTGACATTTGGGGGGATATCTGTACTGTCCTGACATTTGGGGGGTATCTGTACTGTCCTGACATTTGGGGGGTATCTGTACTGTCCTGACATTTGGGGATACTGTACTGTTCTGACATTTGGGGGGATATCTGTACTGTCCTGCCATTTGGGGGATATCTGTACTGTCCTGACATTTGCGGGGATATCTGTACTGTTTTGACATTTGGGGGGATATCTGTACTGTCCTGACATTTGGGGGTATCTGTACTGTCCAAACATATGGGGGAGGGTATCTGTACTGTCCTGACATTTGGGGGATATCTGTACTGTTCTGTCATTTTGGGGGATATCTGTACTGTGCTGACATTTGGAGGATATCTGTACTGTTCTGACATTTTGGGGATATCTGTACTGTCCTGACATTTGGGGGATATCTGTACTGTCCTGACATTTTGGGGGTATCTGTACTCTCCTGACAATTTGGGGGATATCTGTACTGTTCTGACATTTGGGGGGGATATCTGTACTGTTCTGACATTTGGGGGTGATATCTGTAACCGTCCCTGACATTTGGGGGATACTCTGTACTGTTCTGACATTTGCAGGGGATATCTGTACTGTTCTGACATTTGGGGGGGATGATATCGTACAGTCCTGACATTTGGGGGATATCTGTACTGTTCTGACATTTGGGGGATATCTGTAATGTCCTGACATTTGGGGGATATCTGTACTGTTCTGACATTTGGGGGATATCTGTACTGTTCTGACATTTTTGGGCCTCAAGAAATTAGATTGACCGTCAGTAATTCAGGATTGCTCAATTTTTCAGATATATCCCATAGTTTGTGAACTCTATAACTTTCCTACAGACACTAAATAATAACCTACTAATTTGGGCTATTTTTCACCCAAGAAATGTAGCAGAATACGTTTGGCTAAATTGATGAAGAACAATTATTTATTTGCAAAATTGTATAACAAATTAAGAAAAACTATTTTTTTTTTTTCAAAATGTTCTCTCTTTTTTTTATTTATTTAGTAAAAAAATATAAAAAATCACGTGGTGATGAAATACCACCAAAAACAAAAGCTCTATTTGTGTGAACAAAATGATACAAATTTAGTTTGGGTACAGTGTTGCATGACTGTACAATTGTCATTCAATGTGCGACAATGTTGAAAAAGCTGAAAATTGGACTGGGCAGGAAAGGGAGGGGAAAGTGCCAGGTATTGAAGTGGTTAACAAACACTGATTCTGGTCCCTGGTATGGGCAGCCTACATCATATTTGTAATTTTATAGTTAGCCCACAGTTCTACTTTAAGAATGACAAAAAACCTGAAACCACCAACTGATTCCCATTAAAGCCCAGAAACCGTATTACAAAACAAAACAAAATAAAAAAAAAAAAAAAAAAAAAATATATATATATATATATATAGTATATAAAAATGTGCTTATTTTTGAGGAAAAATTCTGGAAATAAAAGCTGTCAATCACTCATCCTTAGGCTCCATGCTCACAGGGCATTTTAATAACGCTGGTAGTCACGTCACGCATTAGCATTTAGGCCCGTGTTTTTCGCTTTACCCTAGTTTTTTTTAGCTTTTTTTTTTACACCCCGCAAAAAACTTTTGCTAAAAAAAGTTAAAAAAAAACCCCGCGGTTTTGCTGAGTTTTACCACGTTTTTCAGCATTAGCCCTCATGCACACGGGCGTTTTGATAGCACTGGTAACATTAGCTGTGAAAAGTCATGTTAAAAAACGTAAGTTTTTCATGTTTTTTGCGTTTTTGGAATAGCGTTTAGTGGCGTTTTCCTGCGTTTTTTCACATTTGCATTTTTAGCCTTTTTTTTGACTAAAGAAAAAAATTTGGGGTGGTGTTAAAAAAACATCCAAAAACACTGGTTTGTGGCGTTTTACCGGTGAGACCGGATATAGTGAATGCAGGGTCCAGGGAGAGCAGATATAGTAAATGCAGGGTCCGGGGAGAGCAGATATAGTGAATGCAGGGTCCGGCGAGACCAGATATAGTGAATGCAGGGTCCAGGGAGACCGGATATAAGTGAATGCAGGTCCGGGGAGACCGGGATATAGTGAATGCAGGGTCCGGGGAGACCAGATATAGTGAATGCAGGGTCCGGGGAGGCCAGATATAGTGAAAATGCGCGTCCAGGGGAGAGCGGATATAGTGAATGCAGAGTCCGTGGAGACCGGATATAGTGAATGCAGGGTCCGGGGAGGGCGACCGGATATAGTGAATGCAGGGTCCGGGGAGACCGGATATAGTGAATGCAGGGTCCGGGGAGAGCGGAATATAGTGAATGCAGGGTCCGGGGGAAACCGGATATAGTGAATGCGGGGTCCGGGAGAGCGGATATAGTGAATGCTGGGTCCGGGGGAGACCGGATATAATGAATGCAGGGTCCGGGGGAGACTGGATAAGTGAATGCAGGGTCCCGGGGAGACCGGATATAGTGAATGCAGGGTCCGGGGGAGACCGATATAGTGAATGCAGGGTCCGGGGTTTAACTTTAACTATTCAAAAACACTTTAATTTTTTTCTTTAATTTAAGGCACATTATTCCTAAAACTTGCATCCAAAAACACTGGTTTTACCACGTTTTTTTCAGCGTTAAGCGTTTTTACAGCTAAAAAAAACTCCTCTAGACACCCACTAAGTTCTGGATTTTTTTTCCAGCCAAAGAACATCCCACCCAAAAAACGTTGATTGCAGTCTAGGTGTGTATGGACACAGAGGGAGGTTTACTGGCTGTAGAAAAAAACTGCCAAAAGCCAAAAACATCCGCTGTACAAACGCATTGTAAAGATTTCCCTGCTCATCGGGTTGTGTTCTGCGCACACGTTCACGCGTTTTCCATGTTCCATCCAGGCTTAGACAAATCCTAATTATTTTCGTAACGCCGGTGGCTGCAAAGCTATCATTTTCCTGTAGAGATGTAAGCAGCAGATTCAAGCTTCCTCTCTTCCCCATCTGATAAGACATCACAATATTGTCACCTGTTTACAATGATTTCATCCCCTTCAGAATATTTGATCAAGGACAAGAGAAGTGAAATAATTACCTGCCGGTAATGGAACTGCTCGGTGACAAACGAATGTAATATTCCTTCCTGAGAAAATCCCATTGTGTTCCTGCTAAATGCAACAATCAAATATAGATATTCCACAAAACTGAGAGATGTCATATGCATGTGTTATGCACACAGAAAGAAACAATGAC